CTCCAATGTGATATCCAATTTGTCTTTATCTAAATCATTTGATACCCTCATCACCTTACCCTTACCTATGTTCACTTTCAACTGATTCTCCTATAATTTTTACAATCTCTTTTGTCCCCCTTCCCTTTATATACATGTAAAGGAACTATACATATAGATAAGAGGGAAAATGGTGGGTGGTCTATTGAAATATCTGGAGAAAGAAAGAAGTTTATCTATGTTCATCATGGGTTTTGAATGCTTAACCCTTTGAGGGTTTTGGTCGTACTAGTACGTCTTACGCGTAGGGGTTTTTGACGTACTAGTACGCATAAATTCTAGCAGCCTCAAATCTAGTGGGAGAAAGCTGGTAGGCCTTCATATGAAAGAATGGGTCTATGTGGTCAGTGTGCACAGTCTAAAAAAAATCCTGCAGCACACAGTGCATAATGAGAAAAAAAAACTTTGACCATTTTTTTGGAATAAATCAGTGACTTTGCAGTGTATTTTTGTATGGTATTTATTGTTGTATTCTAGTTTTCTTGGTCTCATTTTATAGAATGGAAGACATATTACAGAAATTGAGATGATTTTGACTGGTTTTACAATGAAAGGTGCCTTGAAATTGAGCTCAAAGTAGCAGAAATGTTCGATTTTTACCAAACTTCAAAAGTAAACAAATCGTGCCAAGCGTGCAACTGGTGAGTCTAATATTCTTTCACAAGTGCACCAATAATATTTATACCATTTTTTACACTAATGCAGTAGTCTACATAACAGTAAATCTTATATTTTTTGTGAGAATAAAAATTCAAAGTGGAAAGCAAAAGAATATAAGAGGGGCCTTGAGACGTGACTAATGACTAGAGGAAATGTCATTTTAGTGCCAGGAATGTCTTTCTTGTTTATTCTGGACCCTATTCGGAAATTGGCATCTTTTGAAATTTGGGTGAAATTGGAAAAATTGCTAAATTCTGACCACGTACTGATATTTGAATTTCAAAAATGGTGGTTTCTTGCACCCAAATCTAAAAAAAAAGGATTTCTAGCGAAATATTTCATGTTTTTGTCAACTATACAGGGAAAATTTGGCCGAAAAGGGGGCTAAAAAGTGGGAAAACGCCGATGCGTAAACATCGCCAAACCGCAAATTTTTGGAGAGCAATTTCCGAAAGTTTTCTATCAAATTTAAAATTTTTGGTGTCTTAGACGGGAAAAGATTCTCATTTTTCAAAAGAGAAATAATTTTTTTTTTTAAAATTTGGCCACCCGAGAACGATTTTCGGAGAGGGCCTTTCGACCCTCAAAGGGGTTATGGAAGGGGCTAAAAGGCAAACGAACGCATGTGTTGACAGAAATTTTTGGGTAATATCATGCGAAAATTCAGTGCAGAAATTAAAAAGGTGAGGGATTACCAAGATAAAATTCAGAGGGCTGAGGGGGGTTGTTGAGTTTTTTTGGGTAATAAGAGGTAAGAGGGTAAAAATCTGTAGTAAAAGGGCAGGAGGGGTAGGATGCCCCCAGGATTAATGGAGGCAGAGGGTTAAAAAAAAAAAAAAAACTCTGAGTTTGAGAGCATGAGCACCAGCAGGTTTGTGAAAATGCTATAGAATGAATGAAACACCTCTTACCCACCCAGTGAAAAAACCACCAGGATGGCCCTTCAAAACTGTGCGGGTAAAAGAACAAGTAATTAGACAAGAAACAAATTTTGGATAATCACTTAAAATAATAATATGTGGGCAAACTAAAAAAGAAGCCAGGAGTCTCACATCATTACCCCCCCTGGAACAACGGCAAACTCTAAAATCAGTACTTTTGTCATCAGAGGCCTGCCAGATCCCTAAAGATCACAGGGGGAACCTAAAAAATCGAATTTTTTCCGTTCCAGAGCTAGTTTAAATTCAAAAACTGAAATTCGAAGCAATATTTCCCAAAGAAATAATGGAAAACAATTAACGTTCCAAAAACCCCAAAAAAATTCACACAAAAAAACATTTTAGAGAGATTAATTTTCAGTTTTACATATAACAAATACTATAGTTTTTAATTATGTAATAATACATATAAAATAACATTTTTTTCTTACTTTTATTGAAGATTGGTGATAGCATCTGGGAAAAAGGGAGGAGGAGAGAGATTGGGGTTAGTGTTTGGGAAGGAGAATCCCCCCCCATGAGGACTTCAGGTAGAGCCCTCTCTGGGGTCACTTCCCCTTTTCCGCTTTTAAGCCACTAGGGCCCCGCTTTTGAGTCATGGACCCCTGTCTCAAAAAAACTGTCCCCCGTCCTCTGTTTCTGGGACCCTTTAAAAATTTCCCTAAAATGGGGCAAGGGTTCTGTCACTGAACTTGTTGCAAAAATGGGTTGTTTTAGCTTTCTCAGGGGGGTACTTTTGCACAAACATTGGACATCATTCCACTTGGACAAATCTTTTTTCCCTTAAACTTTAAAAAACTCCTTAACCCTCCTCTGAAGCAATTCCCACTGTGGGCTGATACTGCTCCAAGAGGGCTCTTGCA